GCTTGTGCGTGTGCGTCTGCGTGTGTGCGTGCGTGTGCGTGTGCGTCTGCGTGCGTGTGCGTGTGTCACGTGTGTGTGTGTTTCCCCATTCGAAAATTGCGGCCAGAGCGCACCCCGGGGGCAAGGCACGGGCCGATGTCTGGCCGCCGGAGAGCCCGCGTGCGGCCCGGCTCGTGCCGCGGCGGCCTGTGCGCCGGCTTCTGCCTGGAGGGGGGCACAGACCCACAAGCACAAGGACTCGCCAATCCCCGCAGAACATGGGAGAATATGGGAAGTGGGGGGGGCACCGAAAACCCAGCAAACCATGGCACGATGCTGGGAATCCTGGGATCTGTGTCTATTTTTCTGTGTGTCCCTGGGCCCCCTCTATCCTGACACCGCGTGGATCGCCCAACCTCGAACGATCGTGGCGTTCCGAGAACGCGGGTCGCTCTACATCGGCCGATTCCGGGCCACTAGCGTCTTGCTTCCTTGAAAGCCCGCGCTGGGGGCAGCCGTCTCGTCGACACGGCGCGAAACTACCGCTCTGTCCCGTGCCTCTCGGACCACCCCCAGAGATCCGATGCCTGGACTTGTTCGATACGGGGTCCCCCGAAGGCCCGACCCTTTCCCCAGGGCCAGTCTTCCATCCCGAATCCTCTTTGACGGCCCCCGGGGCCTGGCGAAGGCCCACAGAGGCCAAACATGCCAGAAAACCTCCCGTCGTGTTTTTTTCACGACGCGAGCATGTCTGGGACCGCACTGTCCCGTGCCTCTCGGATCACTCACCCCTCCCTGCCCCCCCCGCCGTTGGCCGCGGGGCGCAAGGGGGGCGCCTTCTGCACGGCCTGGACTCGGCGAGCGTGCTCCATGGCCTGTAGCCCGCCGCGCCGCAGCTACAGCAGGCGCATCGGACAAGAAATCTTGCCATCATAATCCTGGGGCACACTCGTCGTCCTTGAGGGCTCTGAGATGCCCCAGACTCCGTGTCTGGCTGATCACTCGGCCGACCACGCCACCCGATCACGCGATCCGATCGAAGCCCCGCTCACGAAGGCTATCGCGCCGAGCACGGATCGATCACGCATTTAAACTCGGACGATCGCGTGATCGAGTCGAACCGATCGTGTGATCGGCGGTGACGTGTCTCCCGATCAGTGCGGCCTGTGATCGCCGATCGCGTGATCGGCAGACACTGATGCCATAGAGCTGCTGTGGGTCCCCGGGGCCGCGGGGGGATGAGAGATTGCCGGTGGGTACCTGCTGACAGGCCGAATTCTTGTCTGGTGTGCTTGATGCAGCATTGATGTGGGCGACAGATGGATGGGCAATGGTAGGATGAGTTGGTCCCTTGACAGCGGCATTTTCCTGTGTGTGTTCGCACAAGAGTGCTTGGACAAAGCGCAACGGTCAGCCTGTATTCAAGAAGAGGGCCATACACAAGGTGCCACTCGTGGAGAGTTCTCGGAAAGACAAGCGCCCAACATTAAGATAGCCATTCGGCGAACAAATGAATACGGATCGTGCCAACACGTTTGGCACGCCCGAAATGGGTGCGATACATAAGGGCATGACACCCAACAATAACTTTTGTCCAAGATCAGCAGCAGCCGCTTTCAAGCAAATGAAATCAGTTTGAAACGGGTAACATCTGCGGCGACACCGACAGCGAGCTGTGTCAAGAAGAGCAGGGACTGCTGTCGACATTCGCTACCAACTTTCCGTTGCAAAAGTTTGATCGCACCGATACTTCGCCCCTACCAAATGCATCCTTGACAGACGTCGCCCCGACGTCTTTCGCGCACACTTTTTTTCAGGGGGGCAACACACAGGTTGGCGGCTTCTTCCTCCTCCTCCTCCTTCTCCTCCTCCTCCTCCATCCTCCTCCTCCTCCTCCTCCTCCTCCTCCTCCTCCTCCTCCTCCTCCTCCTCCTCCTCCTCATGCATCCCCCGTCCTCGTGAGGGAGTCGGATCCACATGGCGAGCGCGAGGCCCAGGCCTGCTGGGCTTCGAGCCGCAGGCCAAGACGACCTCGAAGCAGACGGCAGGTCACAGGTGACGTTGAGCCCCGTGCAGGACACATTTGCTTTGCGTGCAATCACTCGCGCACACGAGAGCACGACAGCCTCTGCCACAGCGTGCACGCATCAGCCGTGCAGTCGCCACCAGGAAGCCCAGCAGGACGCCCACGGGGAACACGGGTCACGGAGGTTACTGGACGCCGAAGGCTACTTACTACACTGCTTCGGCCCCCGACCATGAGCACACGGTGAAATAGTACATAGGAGGAGGGAGGGCTCCATGCTCATCATGAAACTCGTCGTATGGAAACTGCGCCAATCCTATCACTATCTGGCCAAGTCCAATGGCATGAAAAATGCGTCCGGCACGGGCCATCAAATACGCTTGGTTGACGCCCAACGCTCACGAAGCGTAGATAACTATTGCGACGAGCTGCCCACCCATCACATGAGCACGAGCATCATAAACTATAAAGCTATTGACTGGGACGTGGCGACAACACCCGGAACTGGAAGAATAATAGGAGATTCTGACGCGCCGGAATTCTTTATGGAGTCCTTCTACCATTTCGCAGACGTGTGGCAGTGTGAGCTCGGACAGGTCGTTGGCGACGCCCTTGCATGCAAGGGTCCCCTATATGATATATAGGATGCCATCGCGTTCGGAGGCGTCACTGACAACCTGATTCGAATCTTGAGTGTGCCGAGTGGCACCGCCCAGGAGGCACTGAGCCTCGACAACCTAGACAATAAGATGCTGGCTGCGCATCTGACGGGAAGGGGGGTACGCACAACACGTCGAGAAGCAAGATACACTCGCACATCTAGCTACAAGCAGGGACACCTCGGAGACGGAGGATAGGATCTCGGGGAGGGCTATGATGAACATCATATGTGGAAGGGTACCTAAACGCTGAGGGCAGCAACAGGAGGGAGGTGAAGGCGAGGATTAAGGCGGGTTCGATTGGATGGTATGCTCTACGAAATTCTAGGAGTGCGCCAGGACCCTGGTGGAGTAAGAGGAGTACCTTTCTGGCGAACGTCGCAGGCAAAGTCTGGTCAGGATTGGAGGCTTATGTACTTCTTCCCTCGAACCACGGGCTCTGGACACCTCCCGGCGAAGAAGATTCGTGCGATGATGGCTGGCAGGACGCGCACCCTCATGGCGTCCGAGGCCCTGTTTGACGAGTGGGGAGGCCCGCCGACGGGGGCCCAGCTCACGATCAGGAGGTAAGGTGAAGGGGCCCTGAGACACACAAATAAATACACACAAATAAAAGGATTCCCCATATTTCCCCATATTTCTAGGTTTTTGTCTTTCCCCCCACGTCCCATATTTTCCTGCATTTCCCTGGGAATCGACGATTCATTGTGTCTGTGTGTTTCTTCCTCTCCTGAGAAGGGGCGGAGGCAGGCAGTCGTGACGAATCCCGACCACCACCGGCGCTTCCTCGGCGCCCTCCCCGGGGAATATGCGAGCCCGAGGCGCGGGCACGGGCTGCCGGAGGAGAGACGCGGCGGAACGCAGGATGCTGGGACACGGCGGGCCCAGCCCGTCCCCGAGCGTTCCCCCCGGGGCTCGCGGACCCGGCGAGGACCTCCTCCCTCCTCCCTCCTCCCTCCTCCCTCCTCCCTCCTCCCTCCTCCTCCTCCTCCTCCTCCTCCTCCCTCCTCCTCCTCCTCCTCCTCCTCCTCCTCCTCCTCCTCCTCCTCCTCCTCCTCCTCCTCCTCCTCCTCCTCTGGGCTCGCCAGCCCGGCGAGGACCTGGATGCGCTCTTATCACACCCTACAGGGGCAGGACCTCAGGGAGGTCTGGGAGCACCGCACGATGGGGAATCCGTCTGACAATCCTGTAGTTTCTGAGGTGTTCCCGCGATGTGATTTCCGAGCTCTACGTACGGCGGTCTGGCATCGAGGGTGGGCCCCTCCCCGATACTTAAGAAACCAACGTCCGAGGGATGAGGGGACTGCTGGCACTGAGAGTGATGAGGAGGAGCGCGTCCCGCATGTGCACGGTATCAAGGGATGGAGGGCAAGGTTTGCGACGAATCGTGATTTGGCCAGGCATCAGCATAACGCTACCACGATCCCTGACCACGACACCCTGTTGATTCTCTCACAGGTATGTATTGTACTGACAATCAATGCGTCAGCTGTGACACTGTCTTTAGCAGTATCGACCACACTCGGCGTCACTTGTGTCGAGCTTAGACGTCTGGCAGGTGTACCCTCGAGGAGACGAACAATCAATACCAGTGGGTCTCATCCGAGGAGTTGTGCTGCCCGCTGCGGGAAGATTGCGACCTTAAGCATGACGATCAATTGGCGTTGAAATCCGCCGATCCAGCGCATGAGTTTCTGAGAGCGTGGACTTGAGCTCGCTCAAGCCTCGCTCTGCAGGGGGAGGGGGGGGGGCGTACGTTATTTCCGACTTCATTTCCGACGTTTTTCGGTACCCGGGGACAGGGGGGTATAGAAAACTCCACTTCCGGAGCCCAGACCCCCCCCGGATCGGCGGCACTGGCCGGAGGCCAGCCCAATAACATCTCGGCTCAAAATACCGGTGGGTCTCGTCCGAGGAGTCATGTTGCCCGCTGCGGGAACATTGCGACCTGGAGTATGACGACCAGTTGGCGTTGAAATAACATCTACGTTCATATAGCCCCTCATGTCTGTCGGACTCTCGGCTAACAATTCCATAGCCACAGCCACCACATGGCGCTCGGGGACCCATCAAGCGCCGGCCGCTGCCGCCACCGCTCTGGCGGCCCGAGGACGCGCCCGAGGACCGAGAGCGTCTTCGTGCGGCATAACCGACGGCTCGACGAGCTCCGACAGCGACGCCGGCAAGAAGCACCAGCTCAACGGCATCGACGTGTACCAGAACGGGCGGCACCAGCATCAGCTCCAGCGACAGTGGAGCGCCAAGCCAAGCTGCACACAGCACGGGCTGTGGACACGCCAGCTCTCTCACAACCTGCACCAGCGGGGCCACTTCAACCTGAAGATGAGGGCGGCGGCGGCGGCGAGACCCGAGGACGAGCAGCAGACGGTGGGGAAGGTGGGCTCAGGGCCAGAGTGGCTCCTGCAGGCCCCATGCCTCCAGGGCTTCTGGGCAAAGAAGTTCGCCATCAGCGGCGAAACAGGCCAGAGTCGGGGACAGGGACGGCGATGCGAACATGACGGAGGAGGTGAAGGAGGCCAAGGGCAAGGGAGGCAAGGGGAAGGCAGCTCACCGCGGTGGACGGCGACGGCGGAATCTCAGCGAGAAGAAGTGGACATCGACAGATCAGAACCTACTGCAAATCCTGGTGACATTATGCAAGCTTGCGCTCCAGACGACACACAGGCAGAGGATCACTTTGGCCACGGTCATCGAAACACTCACGATGCCCAAGGACCACAAGGTTGCGCAGCGGCTCAAGGAGACGCTCACACAATACAAGAAGGAGTTGGAGGAGGCGCGCACCAGAGGGACGGAGGCCATGAAAGAAGTGAAAGTCCAGTGGCATCCCTCGCGGTCAGCCTTCTCGAGGCGGTGACGGACTGCGACATAGGCGGCAAAGCGAAGAAAGACATGAAACCGGAGAACAACAACCAATCATAATATTTTGAGGACTATAGGGCTATGGGGCTATAGGGCTGTAAGGCTATACGGCTATAAGGCTCTGGGGCTACAGGGCTACATGGCTGTAGGGCTACAGGGCTATAAGGCTATAAGGCTATAGGGCTATAGGGCTATATGGCTAGAGGGCTATAAGGCTATAAGGCTATAAGGCTATAAGGCTATAAGGCTGTAGGGCTATCGGGCTATAGGGCTATAGGGATATTAGGGCTATACGAATATTGGGCTGTGGGGCTAAAGGGCTATAAGGTTATAGGGATATACGGCTATACGCTATAGGGCTGTAGGGCTGTAGGGCTACTGGGCATCCGGGCACCTGGGCGTGCCGCCGAATTCGGCGCCCCACCTCACCTAACCATATGAATCCGCTAGGACCCCTACAGAGGCAAGCTCTGGTCGGGGAATTATAACCTACCTGAAGATGATCATCCCGCCCGTCGGCACAGAGCCTACCGTCACGAGAACGAGTCTGGAGCTGGACGTGGCCGCGATCCGCCTAGAAAAGATGCACGACGACACAAAGAGTAAGCTGTGTCTGGCCGCTCCTAAGTGGCCCGTGCGTGGCACGAACACGCACGCCTTCCTCTCCGAGGGTGTGGTCCAGCGCCGCACTGGTGTTGCGCTTCCATGGTGGCTGGAGGACGAGCTGGCAAGGTAGCTCGAGACTCCCACCAAGCAGTAGTGGGAACGCCCAAGGGCACGGTGCCGCCGGCCAGACCTCCAGCCCCTCCCTCGTCCGACTACTGCCCGTTCGATCTCGACGCATAGTCTGGCTTGCGCATGGGTTTCCAAAGTCTTTTCCCTTCCCCGCCCCTCCCTCACGGCGCGGTGTGGTGACGGGGATCAGCCTCAGCACGAGGCGCATGGGGCGCTCTTGTGGGACGGAGCTTGCCCCACCCAGTGCGCTCCTGTGGGACGGAGGTCGCCCCGCGCGGTGCAGCAGCACGCCCTCACACGCAGCCTGCCTCCACCACTCGCGCACGTGCTGCAGCATCGCCTGTGCGCACCAGCCTGCATAGCCGACAGGGCAGGATCACACATGTCACCGGTCCAGCGACGGGCTTAGCTGAGTCCGTGCAGGAATTTCTGTCGGAATGCAGCCCCATTCGTCGAGTAAAGAAGGCATCCCCCCCGCCCTCCGACACGATTCATCCCTCGTCCTCCTCCTCTGCTGCTTTCATCCGTCCTGTCGCCGACCTCGGTGCGCTCCCTCGTCCGGGTCTGTCCTCGCTGTCCTGCTCCATGTTCTACTCCCCCCCTCCCCCTCCTCCTCCTCCTCCTCCTCCTCCTCCTCCTCCTCCTCCTCCTCCTCCTCCTTCTCCTTCTCCTCCTCCTCCTCGCACGCAATCTCGCCTGGTCCTCTTTCTCAGCCTCCTGCTCTTCCTCCCCCTCCTCCCCTTCTCCTCCTCCTCCCGTTCCTCCTCCTCCTCCTCCTCCTCCTCCTCCTCCTCCTCCTCTTTCCTCCTCCTCCTCCTCCTCTCCTCCTCCTCCCTCCTCTCTCCTCCTGCTCTTTCCTCCTCTCCTCCTCCTCCCCTCCTCCCTCCTCCTCCTCCCTCCTCCTCCTCCCCCCTCCTCCTCCTCCTTCTCCTCCTCCTCCTCTCTTCCTCCTCCTCCTCCTCCCGTCCTCTCCTTCTCATCGTCCCTGCGCCCTCCCCCCCCCCCGAGCGGACTGGCGCCTCGCGGCTGCTGCCCTCCCAGATGGAGCACATGCCGAGCTCCCTGCGCAGCTGGGCCCCGATGGGACAACGACGACGACGACGACGACGACGACGACGACGACGACGGCGACGGCGACGACGGCGACGACGACGACGATGACCTTGTAAGCCGGACAGACAGTGCCGAGAGGCAGCCTGGCAGGTCATAGAAGGAGAGAAACGCCGTAAGCATAAACTGTTGGCGCTCCGCGCGGATTTCTTGGATCTGCGCTGGCGCGCTGAGCGCGCCTAGCAGCGGCTCACTCCGACCGAACCGTACCCCTGCTCGACCCTCCCCAGCACCCCACGAAGTAGGGGACCTCGGGCGGGTGGTAATGGGGGGTGGCCCACATGGTGGGTGAAGAAAAAGGGCCCTGAAGGGCCCCTCGGGGGCACCAACTGGCTCCAAAAGGGGCCCCAAGAGGCCTCCTCAGGGCCCTGTTCCTCACCCCCCGTGTGGGCCAACCCCCATCACCCCCCGCCCGAGGACCGTGACCTGCCGCTCCTGGCTGCTGGCCACCTCCAAGATAGGGAGCCCACAAAGGACGTACGCGCCCAACTATGTACATGAAAACGGCCACGCGATCCGCGAGACCGGCCGCGTTCTACGAACGTTTGCGCAATGCGTACCCTCGAAACCAGCGTGGATTCATGTACGTGTACGTCCTTCTTTCGCTCCTGACAAGAGGAGCCCCGGCCCGCTCCTCGCTGGGTGCCCCCCCCGCGGCCGAGCGCGCCGGCGCGATGGACCGCCCGCTGCACGACGTCCGCCTCGACGGACCCGGGCGCGACCTCGGCCTCCTCGCCCTCTCGCTGCGCTCCGCTCTCCTCGGCCCTGCGCCCCTGCCCGCTCCCCTCGGCCCTCGCCGGCGACGGCGACGCCCTCTGCTCGAAGGCCGAGCCCCTGGGGCCGCTCCTCGCCCGAGCGCGCCTGCCCGGCCCCGCCCGCCCCCCCGCTCGCTCCCGACGAGGCGCCCACGGCCTCCCGCTTTTTGGGCACGGGGGATCTCCTCCGGGGGCCGCGGGATGAGCCAGAGCACCCCTCGCCGACGTCGCCGGCCCACCGCCCGTGGCCCTCCCGACCAATGCCCGTGCCGAACGGCGAGACAACACAGCATAAGAAGCAGCGACATGTTGCCCTGGTTCGTCGGCCCGTTCCGAGTGGCCACGGCCTCCCCGTCGACCAGCTGCTTGCTGCTCCCACGGGCCCTGCTCCAGCGGCTCGGCGGCGCACAAGCGGTTGAGCCGCCAAACCTCTGACCCTGGTATCCATGAGCTGCGCCGCCAGCTCCTCTGCCGTGTCCTGGGCCTCCTGCGCCATCACCGCGAGGTCGAAGAACACGTCGACGCGCGCCCAGTGCTTCTCCACCACGCTGGAGTCCGAGCCGGGGCCGCAGTCCTCAAGCTCATGTGGCCTCTCCAGCGCGACACGTGCCTACGCAGACCGTGGCCCGCACCTCGCCCGCCAGCCGGGACTTGACACTGGCGAGGGTGGCCTCCGCCTCGCTGGGATGGCGAAGCAGACCGCCCACAGCGTCCGGGTCCCGCCAGCGGCGCACGAGCCCTGCCGCGGGCCTCCTCCCGCGACTGCGGCGGCCACGCGAGCTTGCCGCCAGCGTCGCCCCGCCGAGGCGTGCCACCACCTTGGCCCCCGCCGCCTGCAGCAGCTGCGCACACGTCGCCCGAAGACGATCGGCAGCCCTCCCGCGCCGCCCCGGCCACGGGCGCCACCCTCGCCACCTCCCGCTCCTCCGAACCTGCGCCAGCGGTGCCTGCCTGCGGGAGCAGCGTGAACTTCGCTGCCTCGCCCAATGTCGTAACGACCGCCAGGGCGACCCCGTGACGGACCGTGATGCCACCACGCCCACCACTGCTGCACCCGCTGCTGCCACGCACTATCGCGGGCGCCGCAGCGGGATCGCACAGCCCACGGGACCTCGCGCGCGCCGCTCGAGGGCCGAGACGCAAGCGAGACGGCACACCTCCTCCGCCAAGATGTCTACGGACGACGACGACGACGACGACGACGACGACGACGACGACGACGACGACCACAGCGACGACGACGGCCGCAGAGACCCCGAGCCCGGCGAAGATGACGACCTTCCTCCTCCTTCTCCTCCTCCTTATCGCTCCCCTGCTTCCCCACCTTCTCGCCCCTTCTCGCCCTTCCCTCCTTCCTCCTCCCCCCCTCCTCCTCCTCCTCCTCCTCCTCCTCCTCGCCTCCCTCTCTCCTCCTCCTCCTCCTCCTCCTCCTCCTCCTCCTCCTCCTCCTCCTCACCCTCCTTGCCGTGCCGCGCTGGCCTCGGAGGTCTTCCGGGGCCGCTGACCCGATGAGCCCCCTCCCCCCCGGAGCCCATCCCCGCACCACGCTGCCCCCTTGGCCTCTGGGCCATCCGGTCGGGCACCTTTGCTCCGCGTGTCGCGGCGGCGGCCCAAGGCAACACGCTGCGTTCCGCAAGCCGGTAGCGTGCCGCTCCGCTCCGCGGGGCGGGAGGCTGGGCAAAACTTGGAACGTTGACGCTTGGAGACTTGGAAGTGGATACTCCAGATTTCGTAATAAAAGGAGGGGGGTCTCATTGCGGGGGGGGGTCTCTTCCAGGCTATCTTGGAGGGCCTGGGGGGTCTGGGGACGATGTTTGAGAGGTTCTCCCACGGAGGAGGTCTGAAATGGCTTGTCTTGGAGGGTCCAGACCCCCTACCTTTTATTACGAAATCTGGAGTAACGTGTCGCGCCGAATCGTGGTGGGTCAGATCGGCGGAGAGGCACGCTGTCCCAAAGTTTCCGACTGGAGCTCGGCCCTCCAGCGGCCCTTCGGGGCGATCCGGCAGGCCCCGGAAAGGTCCTCGGCGAGGCGCCGCCGCCGGAGAGCGCTGAGGCTGGAAGGCCGCCGAGGACCGGCGAAATGCAGTGAAAACGTACAGTAAGGACGCGTGGTAAGGAGGCGGGGGAGGAGGGAGGAGGAGGAGGAGGAGGAGGAGGAGGAGGAGGAGGAGGAGGAGGTGGAGGAGGAGGAGGAGGATCAGGAGGAGGAGGTGGAGGCCGAAGTTGAAGTATTCTGGGCGGCAGGCGGCCAAACCCCCAGGGAACCTGAGAAAGTGGCCTGCGAACATTGCCAGGGACGGGCCGCAGAGGCTGGGGCAGGCAAGGACCCGAGGGCACCCTTGAAAAAGCCGTTTGTGTTTCCTATGCGCGTTGACTGTAGTCCGATCACCTCGAATCTCGAACCCCAAAACGCTGTCCTCTCCCCCCCCCGAGGCCTCAGCACGCTCATCAGCTCCTTCTCCGTGATCGTGGCTATCCGCGCTCCCTGCGGCCCCGCGCGCAGCGAGCCGCCCTCGCCGCCCCGGTCCGAGGCGAGGGCGTCGATCTCCTCCTGCGGCTTGCGCGGGGGGGCGCCCCGATCGGAGGGGCGGTCACCGATAGGAGGCCACATGCGAACCCTACCCCTACCCCCCACGATTTCTGAGGGGGAGGGTGGGGTTCACTTCGTTCGGGAGCTCCCGAACGAAGTGAACCCCACCCTCCCCCTCAGAAATCGTGGGGGGTAGGGGTAGGGTTCGCATGTGGCCCCCTAACCGAGGCTACCTCGCCCCCCCTCCCTCTTTCCCACTCTCTTTTTTCTCGGGCCACCCTCGAGCACCGCGACATGCAGAGTCAGTGTCGCCGCCCCGTCAGCCGTCATCCCTGCTGCAGCCACGCAGCGGACGGAGCGGCTGGCGTGCTGAGGGGGAGGGGGAGGGGGAGGAGGAGGAGGAGGAGGAGGAGGAGGAGGAGGAGGAGGAGGAGGAAGAGGAGGAGGGGGAGGAGGAGGAGGAGGAGGAGGAGGAGGAGGAGGAGGAGGAGGAGGAGGAGAGGAGCACGACAGCAGTACAGCAACCCTCCTGGGAATCCGAATCCGGCTGCTGGTCGAACGCCTGCATCAAGAAACGTCCGTCATCCGTGCCGCACGCAGCTTGGACAGCTGGACTACACAAGTGCATCCTGAATTGGCAGACAACAACAACCAAGCGCCGAGGCACTCTTCAGCGATACCGAAACAGCAGTGGAATTCATTTGGAACAGTAGAAGTGTGCCCAAGACCTGTCCCCTGTCCCCTTCCCCTCGTTCTCCCCTCTCCCCCCTCGTTCCCCCCCTCGAACCCCCTCCCCTTCTCCCTCCCCCCCCTCCTCTGCCATTGCCCCAAATGGGCACTACTCTCCTCTCAGACCCCCCCCCCCCAAAGACCCCGAGGTTGTAACCTGCCCCCCTTCGCTTTGTTTTTTTTACGCATGGGGTCCCCAAACGGTGATCGATCAGATGTGTTTTCCAACCTGTGCATTTTCGGTGTTTCCAGAATGGCGTCAGCACTGCATCGTTGGCTCCATTTTCTGGCTCTCGGTCCTTCCAAGTCAGATTGCCGCTGCAACGCTGACTCCACTTCTTTGTCGCGAATATTCGAAATCGCGTTCCCGCTACAACGTTGGCTCTCAGTTTACGCTTCTGTTCTTTCCGAAACATCCGTTTGCATGTTTCGTTTTGCGTCATGTCTGGTTCCCTCAGAAGCTGTTGTCTAAATGAGTCGTGCTCTCGACCAGCGCTAGCTCTCATTTCACCCGTGCTTTCCCAAGCCGTGCTACGCCGTGCGCCACCATACATCTCGTAACCTCTCGGATTCAGTGCCCTGCTAGACACCCGACTGTGTGCGAATAGAAAGGAAATTCTTCGCCATAGTAAGGAATGGGAGGGAAAGGCAGGACGTCAGCTAATACGCTTGCGCACCTAGCTTGCCCCCCCACTCTCCCCCCGTCTCCCTCCCCCCCCACATGCCCCGCCCCGCCTCTCCCCCCCCCCGCCCTTCCCCCCGTCCCCCCCTCCCTCCCCCCTTCGCCCCACTCCCACCGTGAAAAGCAGCAGGGTGCACTGGCCAGGCCCGCCCCCCTCTCACCCACCCTCTCTCTCTCTCTCTCTCTAGAAAAATGGCCCAGGGAGCGGCGCTGGACCCACTACCCGGCAAGCGGAGAGCGCCAGGGGCAGCGCCCGAGGCGTCGCCAGAGAGGCCCAACGCAAGAAACGCGCGCGGAACCCCAGGAAATGTGTTTACCCGCCAGCCGTAAGGCATTTTCAGCAGGAAGCAGGAAGGCGGACAAAGTAGCTTGGGTTCGGGCCCGCCCACAGAATAACAAACAACAGCAAAGACAGATCGATGTTTGAAAAAGGAAGGCGCTTGAAGTATAGCGGGATCTGGCTATCCGAAAATACCAACTTTCAGCGACTGGCGAGTGCGCAATTGTTTCTTCTTCGCTATCGCCTAGCGGCTATACTGCGTGATGAGCTGACCCATGCCCTCGTCGAAGCAGAGAGGAGGCCCAGCCAATCTGCTCGAGGCGGGCCGACCTCGCGTCTGGGCGCGCATCCGCCTCCGCCCAGGACCAGGGGGAGCGGCCTAGAAGGGCACCGTCCGACGGGTGGTCCTCTGCGGGCTCGCTGAGCTGTTAGATTTCATCGTAGGCTTATGTCGGGCCTGTCCCCCTACAGGGGGATTTTCGACGAAAAATATTTTTTTTGTAAAAAAAACACACACACAAAACAATCAAACAATAGTCCAAAAATAGTCCGGGGGCATTTTCGGGGTATTTTCTATTTTTCGTCGAAAATCCCCCTGTAGGGGGACAGGTCCGACCTAATCGTAGGCCTACAGTAGCGCGTGAGCGAAGGCACGCCGGCGTCGGGGACGGGGTCCCCGCGCGCCTGGCAGACCTCTGGCTGCGCGGGATTAGAGGTGCCGCCCCTGCGCACGCCGACCTGCCTAGCGCAGGCCAACGCCTGCACCGTCTGCTGGAATCGACGCTCCAAGTAGAAGAAGACGCAAGGACGCTGGGCCCCCCTGGCGGCGCCTCTGGCGCTGCCCGCGGCGCGCTCCGCGCGCCAGGGGGGGGGGCCAGCGCCGATCCGAGAAGTCCGCGCGGACCTGCGAAAGCTTCGGTTTGTGCCATGTTTTCCAGAGCGCGCCCCGTGTTAGCGCGACCGCTGGAGGAAGGAGAGGCTGCCTGCTCAGCCGTGGCCGTGACGGTGGGCGGCAGGGTGTGCCCAAGACCAGGCGCCTGTTGACCGCCGCTCCGTCCTTGAGCGAGAGGATGCTGGAGCTGATCAGGGTTCGGCAGGCTCAATGCTCCAGTCGGATATGGCGGAGCACGGGTCCGCAAGGGGCTTGGCGAACGTGGCGAGTGATCTTATACGGTGAGCGTAGGGAAGGCACCGCGCCAATGCAAGCGTGGATTTCTGCCAGTCCGTCGGCAGATCCTGACGGGCCCCGGGGCCCGATCTTGTCAGCAGACGGGCTTCGACCATGGCAGCGAGGTCGAAATGCTGCCCTGTGCCTCCGGCAAACGACGTCTTGGCTTGGGTCCCGCTCAGAGAGATATTGCCACGAGGCAGGGGGAACACGAAGAGCGACCGTACCCCATGGCGCGTGCCAATCCCCCTGCAGCGCGGTCAACGCAACAAATGTAGAAGGCCTGACCCCCTGTGATGATGAGTTACTCCGTGCTGTCGACGCAGGAGGGCTCCAAGATCAGCATCCGGACTCCCCCCCGCGTGCTCACGCGGGTGCCCATCACACAATCGCATGAACGGGAGGAGGATTTCTTGGAGTTCCACGCCCAAGCGCCTCCAAGAGGGAGGGAAAAGGAGGGAGGTAGAGGGGAAGTGGGAGGAAGATAAGAGGGAGGAGGAGATAGGTGGGAGGAGGAACAGAGGAGGAGGAGGAGGAGGAGGAGGAGGAGGAGAAGGAGGAGCAGGAGACGGAGGAGTAGGAGGAAAAGGTTCGAGGAGGAGGAGAAGGATCGAGGGGGAGGAGGAGGAGGAGGAGGAGGAGGAGAGGAGGAGGAGGAGGAGGAGGGAGGAGGAGGAGGAGGAGGAGGAGGCTCGAGGCGGAGGAGGTTCGAGGAGAGGAGGAGAGGGAGGAGGCGGAGGAGGAGGAGGAGGAGGAGGAGGAGGAGGATTTCTTGCAGCTCCATGCCCAGGCGCCTCCAAAAATCACCCGCCGAACGGGCTGGGGAGGCGCGCAGACGCGGAGGGAGAGGCGGCGGCCTCTCTTGAGGAGGCTCTACCCTGAGGGTGGGACCGCTGGAAAAGTGTTTGATCACGAACCCCGTCCTCCTCCCTCCTCCTCTCCTCCTCCTTCCTCTCTCCTCCCTCCTCTTCCTCTCTCCTCCTCCTCCTCCCCCCCTCCTCCTTTTCTCCCTCCTTCTCCTCCTCCTCCTCTCCTCCTCCTCCTTTTCCTCCTCCTTCCTCCTCCTCCTCCTCCTCACCTCCCTCCTCCTCTCCTCCTCCTTCTCTCCTCCTCCTCCTCCTCCTCCTGTCCTCTCTCCTCCTCTCTCCCTCTCCTCCTTCTCCTCCTCCTCCTCCTCCTCCTCCTCCTCCCTCCTCCTCCTCCTCCTCCCTCCTCCTCCTCTTCCTCCTCCTCCTCCTCCTCCGCCTCCTCCTCGAAGCTCCTCCTCCTCCTCGTCCTCGAACTGCCTCCTCCTCGAACTCCTCCTCATCCTCCTCATCAAACCTCCTCCTCCTCCTACTCGAACTTCTTCCTCCTCCTCCTCCTCCTCCTCGTCCTCCTCCGCCTCCTCTCCGCACGGCGAACATGTCCTTATCCGCGCCCTCGCGGCCTGGACTCCCAAGGCGCGATCCCGCGAGAAGGCGGTCGCGAGGACGAGTCCCGCGCGGGGATTCCGCGAGAAATCGCCCCGTCTCCGCGGGAGTGCGGCCTACAGTCGGGCCGCTGAGAGAAGGAACGCTAAATAAGGAACGAAGCCCCTCCTCCTCCTCCTCCTCCTTCTCCTCCTCCTCCTCATCATCATCATCCTCATCATCCTCCGCTTCCTCCCCCCACTCCTAGCCCTTTCGATCAGGGTCGGCGGCACCGGCCGTCAGGCCTCTCCAATAAGGAACGAAACCCCTTCTTGGCCCTGATAGCCCCTCCGTGCCCCAGGAGGGCAAGAGGAACAGCACTGGAGGGACCTAAGGAACATCGAGCCCCTTCCGGACCCAAACTGCTCCTTGTTTCAGCGTCTTGGCTGTATGGGGCCGGGCACACGACACCGCGGATACGGATCTGTTTCTCGCCCGCGAGTTGAAGCACCGGATGCAGTTACCAGTGCCAGCAATCGCTCCCGTGCTTGTGCTTGCTATCTTGCGGATGTCTACCTCTGCACAAGGCAGGCGACCCGTAATACGCTGCACGGGTCGGAGGCACAACGCACTGGCTCGCAAAGCCTCGAAGTGATGTTCCCGAATTGAGGCGGCCTTGTTCGCAGCGGCCCCGCGCCGCCGACGACGCAGTGGGCGAGTCTCACGACGCAGCGAGCAGCGGTTACGGCGCTGGCGCTGTTGCGGCAGGTGTCCGTCGAATCGAGCAAGTCGCCCCCCTAGGAAGATGAAGAGAAACAGAATTTACGGAGACACGTATGTTGCGACCATGGCGGCTACGTATACGGATCGGTGGGATATCCTGGCATACTCGGCTTTGCTGTAAGCCTTGGGCCATATTCCCCGCTCGATCTTAAAATGATACTCTCTCCGAGTAAGGTCTGCACGAAGCGGGCATGGACTCCCGAACTTGGCCAACTGCTGGGTCGAAAACCTTCCACGCGTCCCGTAAAACAACATGCCCAGCCCAGAGTGGAGCGTAAGGTAATGACTATTATGAGCCTGCCCCCACAGGTTTGCGCCCGACGCCTATATGGGAGATCATAAGCATCACCGTCTACCGTTCGCAGCTAAAAACACGGCGAATCCAGCCAGGTCCGACGAGCAGCCTGGGAGGTCGAGCCTCGACACCGCGAACACGCCGTACCCTTCTCGGAAGGTAGTGCTGAGTGGAACAGGCAGAGCAAACTTGAGGAGCAGGAGGCCTGGTGCCGGGGTGTCTGACACAGGCCCTCTGGGGCTCCTCACGAGACAAAGCTAGCTCTGTTTCAAGAAACTGCACGGTGCTACCAACTAGACACGTTCTAACTAGGGGTGACCTTCGCTCGAGCGAGGCGACTCGAGCTGTGTCCTTCTCGGCAACCGTACACATCTTAGCACATTCACCCGCGATAAAGCCGGAAGCTGTCTTGCCGACAGCAAAGAGGGGCGGGGAGCGACCAGCTCCTGTATCCTTAGCCTCCTGGTGCGAGTGAACCAATATGACTGCGCACTGGACCGAGGAGCGCTGCCTAGGCTCTTGCCCCATCAATAACCGCTGATCACAGTCCTCCCATTCAGGGTCCTGGAGTCGGCCTGCATACCAGCCCACGCGTGGGTTGCATTGTCTGTGATATACACAATCTGGCCGCCCCCTCCTTGGAGGGCTGTGAGCAATCCGAACATCCCCTAGGAACCAGTTGCCTGGGCCAAGGGAAACCTCTCCACAACCCTTTGTGCAGCGCCATGGGATCAGCCAGCTCGGGATACACCGCCAAACCTACTCCGACTCTTATGATGCAAGGGTCGTGAACCTCTGCGCCCCCACTGTCATCTCCGAAACTTACCAGAGGCTGTCTCTCATCTCCGAAACCGAAATATCCGCGGCTGAAGCGATCGACACCGAAAACCTGCGAACTGGGTTGCTCTTGTGGCTGAGGCACACGTAACCAACCAGATGGGATGAGGCCCTGCAGCCACAAGCATGGCTCCCACTCGTACTGAGCCTGAGTTTTCCGCAAGTTATCGTCGCTCGAGTCGTACATCGGGTGTGCAGCCCACAAGCTCCACAGCAGCGTTGGGAGCTATCCTCGGGGGCCTCCCTGCACCTGGCGCAGAGGAGGAACAGCGACTGCCTGGTCCGCTCCGAGCGTCAAGTGCGCGGCCATGCTGCTCCAGCTGCCGCTGCCAGCATCAGCCCAGCCAGCCTGTCACCACTGGGCCCGTCGCACAGCTGCTTGATTAAGGGAACAAAAAGAGGCATAAACATGAAATCTCGGAAGTCCGCGCAGATTTCTCGGATCCGCGCTGGACCCCCCTGGCGGCGCCTCCGGCGCCGCCCCTGGCGCGCTCCGCGCGCCAGGGAGGGTGTCCAGCGCCGATCGAGAAATCCGCGCGGACCTCCGAATTTTTATGTTTGTGTGACTCTTTGCTCCCCTGGGTAAGACACGTTGCAGACGCCATGCTGCACGTCCGCGCCGCTCCGGTGCCGCGCTGCGTCCTTCCACTGTCCGACCGTCACCGTGGGCTCAAACATCCTGCAGGAAAGCGCTGGGCACGTCCAGGTCCCTGAAGGAGGAGGAGGGGGAGGAGGAGGAGAAGGGGGGAGGAGGAGGAGGAGGAGGAGGAGGAGGAGGAGGAGGAGAGGAAGGAGGAGGAGGAGGAGGAGGAGGGAGGGAGGAGGAGGAGGAGGGAAGGAGGAGGAGGGAGAAGGAGGAGGAGGAGGAGGAGGAGGAGGAGGAGGAGGAGGAAGAGGGGGAGGAGGGGAGGAGGAGGGACGGAGGAGGGAATAAGGAGGGGAGGAGGAGGAGGGAGGAGGTCACTGAAAGGAGGAGGAGGAGGAGGAGGACGAGGAGGACGAGGAGGAGAGGAGGAGGAGGAGGAGGAGGAGGAAGAGGAGGAGGAGGAGGAGGAGGAGGAGGAGGAGGCACCCGTGAGCTCAGACATGTCAAACTCCCAAGCATCACACTTACTGCCTTCCTCGCTTAGGTAGCTGCCATGTCGCAGGCCCACTGGGCTTCCCACCCTCTTAGAGCAAGTCGCACACTACTGTAGGCTGTGGCCCACACGCGTGTCGGCTTCTCTGCTGCGGCGCAGGTTCTCGAACGTCCTGGACGACATGGGGCCATGCACGTTCAATGACGAACGAACAACACACCCATACCCGTAAGGGGGTCGTTGGGAGGAGGACTGGCTATGGGTATGGGTGCGGGTTGTCGGACCCTAGGGAACGCTCGCGTTCGAGCGGGGACCCCAATCCGACAACACGCACCCATAGCCCTTTCCGACCCCCCTTTGGGTATGGGTGTGTGTTGTTGGTTCGTCATTCAACACCTGCACGCATTGCCGGTTGCATAGTCGAGCACGTGAGGAGGAGGAGGAGGAGGAGGAGGAGGAGGGGAGGAGGAGGAGGACGACGACGCCGTAGCCCCCGCGCCCGCGCTCCTTCATGAGCAGCCCGAAGCTCGGGAGCGGGATGGATGACCGCTTCGGCGTGTCGGGCAGCGAGTCGCTGGAGTGCGACCGTTCCTCCCGGGGGCAGCCATCTCCCTCCGCCGCGCACGGTCCTCGCACGCGTGCGAAGCAGAGTCCCTCAGTCATCGATCTCAGCCTGCTGTAGCACCTGCGCTCTCGCAGATCTCTCGGAAATTTCCCGAGGCATGTGGGACGAATGGCGGCTAGCATTGCACATGTAGAAAACCGCCGCGTACGCTCCTCCTACCCAGGCCTCTAACGTCGTTGGGCGGCGCGCCGAAGGGGGAGGCAGAGGGGGGTCTTCTCAGGAGGCTTAGAAGAACTCTGGCCTCACAAGCTCTGTGAGCCATCCCCGAAACCATAGAAATTGTCGCAGAAGGCCGACTGGAGGGTCGCTGAGAAGCTCCGCCGCCTTTTGAGAAGGCCTGCCCCCTCTCACTTCCCCCCTCGACGCGCCTCCGAACCCTGATCGTTTCGCCACCATCCCTCCCACAATTTCTTCCTTTCTGGCTCAAGTGGACAAGTGGCAAGCTGCAGTCCTCATATCCAACTTTTCTATGACACCACACATATCCCAATTGTCCCTTTTTCTTCTCAGCAGCGACCATGCCGGCGACCACTCGACAGCCAGGTACTCCAGTGCGTGGCGTGTTGGGCGAGGCGTCATCGGGTGCATCTTCATCTGCATCGCATGTACCGGCCACGCCGATTCCTCTGGATAAGCGGGCTCGATTGTCCAGCCCGTGGCATGAGATGGACGATGTTGCGGACGAGGCTGGAGCAGTGGCAGCGCTCGAGCCCAGTGCGGAGGCAGCAGCAGCAGCAGCAGACAGTTTCGACCAGACGACCAGGGACCTTTTCAGCGAGAACACCATAATAAACAAGTAAATTGCACAATTGCTTGCCATAAATCTCAAAGCTCTTAGCTCGGACGTCCGAACTTTACAAATTATGTTGCTCGTATCGAAACGCATTTTGCCAATATCAACTCAGAGGTGAATACTCGTTTCGGTGCCGTGGAGTCGGAAATGCAGGCCCAGAATGTCCAGATGGAAAAGTTACATGCCGCTTTGTCGAGAGGTGCTTCTCGTGCAAGTTCGGCTTCGGGAACGAATCCCGACAGCTACAACGATGTCAAGGCTGAGTTGATCGCAAAGGTGGCCAAGCTCGAGGCCCAGCTTGGCAAGCTCAACCACAAGTTGGTCACAGCTGTCTTCGGTGGCCTCGGCCTCGGTGGTCAGTGGAGCGAGGCTGATGCCTGCAAATGGCTGTGCAGCACGCTCTCTGCGGATTGGGGGCCTCTCTCTCCCGGGCTCAGCGCACGCGAAAGAGCCATTCAATGACATGTTGTTCGCACACCTCCCGACAGAGGCAGACAAGGACAGGGCGACCCAAAAGATACGGGGCGGCGGCCATGAATGGAGTGGTGGACTCAAATTTGACCGATTCTTGGAGGAGCGTCTGCCAGAGTCGTTCGCCTTCGCCGTGGGGAAATTCCTCGTAGAGTTGGCGTGGTCGAAATCTGATTGATTCGAGGACCGTGGCAGCGCCACCGTCTACCTCGTGACGGATACAATGGTATCGACAAGTTCGAGGTCGATTTCGGGGACGGGTAGGAGTACCTGCAGGCCCCCCAGAGTTGACCAACATTTCCACCAGCGCACCGGGGAAGGTCAAACAAAAGGCCCAGTTGAAGGGGAAGAGGACGGATGAGGGACAGGAGAGAGGGGAAGAGCAATGCAAAGGCATCCTCATGGACAGCCTCAGCCTAGGGACAGCACCGGTCGCGAGCAAGTAGAGACAGCAAAGACTTCAACGACATGAGGGGTGACAGTACTGGATACGAAATGTGTGTCACTTTCGAATGGCTGGGTAAGAGTAATCGTGTGCATACGCATCATAAGTAAGCTCAGTTGGCAACTGGGTTGGGCAATGTTCCGTGGGACGCTGTGCGCCTGACTGAAGCCACTGAAACGAGGGCGCAGACAGCGGACCACGAGTTTGTCGGAGGACACCAGTTCATATCGCACTTCGCCGACTACAAATACGCTGGTAAAGCTACGCTTGTTAATCGTCGATGTGTTACTTATGTTTTGGATTAAGGAACTTCCAAAGGCAAGTTGCCCGCCGTAGACATCAACGCTGGGCTTCAGAAGCTGACCGTTCTGAGTGTCTACTTGCCGCACGCTGGACACCCATAAGATACTTTACTCGGTTGTTACGCTCAGATGGCTTCAGAAGCGCGCGGGGCGAGATGCCTTCACAAGAAATTTGTCTTGGCTGAGGATGCCAACGCACAAACGTTCAATGGACACAGGAAGAGCTGTTCAGCAACTTCGTGCTTGATCACAACTTGATTGCTGGGAATACCAACGACCTTACTAACGAATCGCGCGATGTTCGGTAAACGTTATGCTCAAGTCACGGGCTGAAGCGGCGAATCGTTCAGCTTGCCGTCCAATAGCCAGCCTCAACCTCGGATCTGATCGCCGAACTGTGAGAAATCGCGCGTGCTCCGACTGTCTGCCTCGGACGCACCGCTCCCGGAACTGCCAGAAACAAAAAAACGCGGGCGCCAATTCCGATTATGGTTGCGTTGATGCCGCAGTTTCAGAGACCGTGACCGCCCACATAACCAGCTACGCTTCCAACGCGCTAAATGACATCGAACACGTTATGGCAGCAACTGCAGCAACTGCGCACAGGACGGCTAGTTCGAAACCGACGCCAAACCATGGAAAACAGAAGCGCTCAAGAACTTGCGACATAAACGTCGTAAATGTAAAGACAAAGCATCGCGGCATAGACTGCTTGAGAAGACTAGCAAGAAAAATTCGACATTACATCCCCGTGAAAAAATAGCGTTGAACAAAAGTGGCACAGGGATGGAAGCCAAACCGATGTTGAATCAGACCAGGCGGGGCCCGTCGCATCAAGCGACATCCGCCCGACAATGTTACGGAAGAGCGTCTCGCCTGCATTGCGCGGTGCGCGGTGCGCGTTGGCCATCCGACTGCGGGAACGAAGTCGCAGGGCATAACGTGGAACAGCCAATGCCGGCGGCCCCGTGAAGAGGAAAAACAAAAAAACTTGGAAGAGCACCCGGCAATATATGGCGCCCGCCACCCAACGTTGCCACCGGGCGCGCAAACCACAGAATGGAATATCAATGACTTGGCCCATGAAGCACGCCTGCACACGAGCCAACATTGAGAAGCGAATCCCACTTGATTGGCCTCTTTGCGCATTGCCGTCTGCGGATCATTCACGCTGACCGTCTTGTTGATTTTGTTATAACTTGTTCCCGGCTGTGTGGATGTCGAACCTGTTTGGGTGTGCTCCAATCGTTCTGGCGGCAATTGCCCTATCGCGTTGGCATTCGCCGCTCGGGCAGATGGAATGGGAAGCGCGATCCCCGAAACAATTTGCACATGGACGGCCGCCGTGCCATGTGTCAGGCCGCAGCGCGGCTCATCCTCTGACGCTTGAACAAACTCGCGAGAGTCCCATCTGGGCGGGCTGCTTCTTCTTCGGCTTCTTGGGGGCTGCCTTCTGCTTGTCGCTTTGTCGGAAGGCGAGCTCCTCTATCTGCCTGGCCACCTTTGAGCGCTGTCCGTGGTCGTGCCCCAATAGGACGCGGGCGGCCTTGAGCGCGCCGTTGGCCATGGGAACGGTCAGCGCCGGCTTCAGGTCTGGGCGAGGGCTGACTGCCCAAATCCAGCGAACTCGGTCTTCGGCTCCTTCCGTCAACTTGACCTCGAAGCATCTCGTCTCGCGTGCGATCACATCCATGTCCTGAGCGATGGCCCCCCACTGCTTCAGCACCTGCCGTGCGTTTGGGACAAGTTCGCGGGCCTGGCCGTTCTTCGCCGCATCCTCTACCTCTATTGCGTTGCTCGCGTAGGCTTCGGCGAGGCGGAAGATCACGCTCCTCAGGAGCGCGTCTGGCTTCTTCCCGAGAGGGTGTCCCTGGAAGTTCTCGCCTCCCCGCGCGGCCTTGCCTGTCGCGATGTAGTTCTGGAGACCTTCGTCCAGCGCCACCTCGAGCTTCGTGCCGACCATGAGGGCGAGGGCGAAGTTGTCGCCCCTCGCGTCTGCTTGGCGGGCTGCCTCGCGCTGGAGCAGGAGGCGACGCATCAGGTTCTGGAGGCGGCCGTTGGGATTGACCTCGTCGTTGTTCGACGCGTCCGTCTGGCCCGCCCCCTCGGTCTCGCCCTGGCGCGTCACTCCTTTGATCTCCGCGATCGGCGCGAACGTGGCGAGGCAATGGAGCCGGGGGATCTGGGGCGGGCCGGCCGGGCGCTCGGCGCACAGAGGCTTGAACCGAGGGCAACGAGGGCGCGCGACATCTTCCATTGAGTACATGCCCGACGAGGCTTTCATTTCGGCTAAACGTGCCCCCACACCTCGGGCACAGCAACGAACGTAGCTGTTCATATGTGAGGCCCGTGGGGCTCGCATACATCTCATGCGTCAAAAACACGTGGTTGGCTGAGCCCTTGGGGCCATGGCACATGCGCGAGCAAGTTGGGCAATTCGCCTCGCGCTCTTGGTTCTAGCTCTGGGAACGCAGCGCAACCACCGAAGCCAGGGGCGAGTAGGGCACGGAGGGGCGTCTTAGAGGTCGTGGGCAACACGGGCTTCTTGTTGGGCCTCAGGGGGAGGGCCCTCCAAAGGTGTCCGAGATCATCTCGAAGTACTCCCGAGAGATAGTTTACCTCTGTGTGTTCGGGGCCCTCGAAGTTGAACCTGCCGAAGACTACTGCTCGTGCCATCTTCGCGGGGTCGCGCTTCGGGCCCACGGGGGGCTCGTCGGGGCCCTCCTGGGCCAGGCCCTCCTGAGGGCGCTTCTGGAGGTCGGGGGAGGCGGGGCGCAGGACACCTCGCCACCAAGCAAGACGGCGCTCCAAGAGAGTAAAGGCTACAGTAGGTACACCCGTTCGTTGGCGGACTGCTGCGCGACTCTCATGGCGCACGTGCGCGGGCGATCTGGCAAGGAATCAACATTCTCGCCTGCCAATTCTCGAGGCGAGTCACATCGCGCTCGGTAAGCACCGCAACTTCCAAACCATAGAGCGCAGACGAGCGGACCAGTGAGTACCACAGCCGGACTCTAAGCACAACGCTGAACTGCCCCTTGGATGCACGTCGGGCGAGGCGGGCACGAGCAGCATTTCCTCCTTGGATCCTACGGGTAACTTCCTCGACCATCGCGCTGTCGTCACGTTGCTTGGCTCCCAGGTATTTCGCACTCGAGGCGGCGTCGATCGGGGTCCTGTCCATGGTAATGTTTGGTTGTTTGGATCGGATCGTGGATCTGCGAGCTGCGCTTTTACTGCCGGCCGCGACGGTAAGCATTTCGGTTTTCGCGTCATTCACTTTCATCTTCCCTCTCGTGATCTCGCGTCTCAGGAATGAAAGGGACCTCGATGCCGATTCGAAATCCTCGACGATGGTGAACGCTATCAAGTCTCCAACAAACTTTATGGGGGATGCTGTCAGACATTCCTCATCATCAGTCCCAGGGAGGAGATGGAGGTGAAGAATCTTTTCCGATGTAGGATCGAACGTCACAGAGGCCACGGCGACTTCGGACAGGGCGCGGCTCTGCTCCTGGCCGGAGGCGCGCACGGCCACAAACAGGAGCGGGCACTCCACACTTCATTGCCGTATTCCTCTGGGGATCAGCAACTTCTCGGCTGGATGGCTGGCCCGAATGTCTCGGGCGACGCAGCACGTGCCTTCGTGGAGTTCTTCGACTGCAAGACGAACGTATCGCTTCAAAGCCAGCCTCTCCAGGGCAATCCATATATCGTCTCTGTCGATCAAGTCGAAGGCCTTCCCGAGGTCAGTCAGGACGGCCACCAGCATCCCTGGCATCGTACGTTTGCCCAAACGGGAGGTTCGCCCATGGGGGCGGCAACGGCGCATGACCTTTGCCACAGCTGCGAGAGCGCCACGGGTAGATCTGCCAGCCAGCGCTCCAAACTGCGAGCAGGGAAGGCGGGGGGCTAGGCCGCGAAGCTCTGGCATCACTGTCACATTCATATAGACCTGGCCAATGTGGTTGATCAGATTGATGGTTCGGTAGTGGTCCTTCGCGCTGCTGCCATCACCCTTGGGTTTGCGAAGCGACACTCTTTCTCCGTCTTTGAACAGTTGGGCTGGATGCCCAAGAGCCTGGCACGCGTGAAACGCTCCATGAAGAACGGGGGCTGTCTCTGACACAAGTAGCTTCCACAGCTCGATGGTCGACCCGCCGTGTGGCTTAGCCATGGGGTCGAGGCTATCTGGGTCGGTTATCTTCGGGACAGGTGCGCTCTTATAGCTGGGCAGATTGAGGGTCGCTCTCTTGACGTCCTCAATGCTGTATGGGCCAATGCGCGAGTCGTCCCGAGGTAGCAGGCGGCCCACCAGGAGTAGACATGTCGATCTCCGAGCCCTCGAAGATGCTACACAGGACACTGGCGCGGATTTCAGCTTATTCTTCTTCTGCGCCCATGCACATGGGGGGGGCACAGACCGTCACCACTGGTGCAGCTGGCTTCGGGGCTAGGCGGCGAATGGCACTGTGGAGTTTGCGTAGATTTCCAACCGCATCCGCCGCATCCGCCTCCTTGGCCGTATCTGCGAGCCGCTGGCGTCGTTCAGCACGTACGGCTCTGGCTGCTGCTCTGGCTGCTTCGTCGAAAACTGCCTGGAGGAGGGCGTCGCCGTCGGAGTCCTGGTCCAGCACTCCCGCCATGTGTCGTTGGATTCGGTGTTTGTTCTCGATGAGGGCAAGGGTCTCGTCGGTCAGCTTGGGGCGGGTTCTCTGAGGATGTAAAACGGAGCCGCCGCCTCAATCCGCGTGTGACCACACCGTTGAAGTAGTCAGAGGGTGAAGCGCATCTTTGGTTGGTTCCGCACTCCTCCTGCCACTGACCAATGATTTGGCGCTGATTGACTAAAGCAGAAAGATGTACTCGCATATCAATAAGTCGTTGGGGGACTTCGGCGCCTGGGTCTCTCAGGAGCTTCAGATCATGCATCAGGACATCGCGATCCCACCGTGCTGGTTTCTCCTCGGGTATCCTGCGGGCCCGTAGTCCAACGAAGATCTGCGCTGCGAAGGGTCGGTGGTCTCGATAGCCTCCTATGCTGACAGGGAGCTTTTTGAGCGGGGCCGCACACTTGCCATACGATCCAGGTAGCCTAATACATATATAGTCGATAGTAGTCCATCCTCGTCCACTGGTACGTTTCCATGTGTCATGCTGTCTTGTCACTTTGCCGAACGTGTTGAGGGCCACTAAGTTGGACGTCTGCAGTAGGTCCACCACGCGGGCGCCATTGACGTTGGTAGCCGCATGGGAGCGTTCCTGTCCAGCAAAGCCGACATGTGGTAACTGCGGGGACACGGCGGCATTGGCGTCCATCGCGACTATCAGGGCGGCACGACGTGGGATTTGTTGCAGTGCAGCTCTGCATTGGTTCCAGTTCTTGTTTTGGAAGTCTCGATGTGCACTAATTCTTTCGTGATGGTCCACTCCCAGTCTCGCGTGGCTCATCTCGTTCAGGGGGGCAGATCCGTTCAGGATGAAAATGTCGCGTTCCTTGGGGCCTTTCCTTGTGAGGCGGATGCCCTGCAGCCTTCCCTCCAACCAAGTATGTGATACCCGCAGCTCGGACAACTGGAAATGGCGGAGACTGAAAGCGATCAGGCATCCGTCGCGGCTTGTGCGGGTCGTGCGGGGTGTGGGGATAACCCTGTATCCCTCCGTAGCCCAGGGTAGACCAAACTCAAGGAGTGTACTCTGTAGGCACACCACCGAGACCTTAGATTTGGTAGTTTGTCGAGGTCTGTCTCCGAGACGGCGAGGAAGAGATGGCAACAGTCGATCCTCGGAGAAAGGGCTCTTATTGGAACGCTCCAGGCAGCGCCATCTGGGCGAAGAATGCCCCCGTTGGGGAAGACGGCACCCCACGCCCGCCTTTAATGAAGGGGCCCTGGGACACACAAATAAGTACACACAAATAACAGGATCCCCCATATGTTCTCATACTTCCTGGGTGTTTGTCTCCCCCCCCTTCCCATATTTTCCTACATTTTCTGGGGAATCGACGATGAATTGTGTCTGTGTGTTTTTGTTCCCTCCTGATTGAAGGGTGGCGGCAGTCCAGGCCCGCACGGGGCCCGATGAGTCCAACCCTGGGGAGGGGGGGGGGAGGCAGGCCCCATTGCGGCCTGGGCACGGCCGTATCTCAGATTCTCGTGGCGAATGCTCCTCCCATTGGCAGTGGCCAGGGGTTGAGGAGACTACCAATGGCCCCAGTCCATCGTGACGGAACCGCCACCAGATCTCAGATCGCAGGGGGAGACGGAAGAGGAGGGAGAGACAGAGGAGGCGGAGATGAGGATCGTGATGATGATGACGCGCCAAAGAAAGGCGGGCGCCGGGCGTGCTGCCTGACTTCTCCCCTCTCCTCCCGGCGATTGCCCACGGAGCCCTTGCGGTCAGGAAACAAAACAGCCTCCTCCACGACACTCTGTGCCACTCTGTGCCACTCGCTTCCAGGAGGAGGGTGAAGAGGAAGCAGATCGAGGATCCCACCTCCACCCCGGGACCGTCCACGGCGACGGCACAACCGAACGCCGATCGAACGCGGACGGAGAAATCGAAGCCAACCGAATTCGAACCGACCGCACGCGCACAGCGGCACGGCCGCGACACGACAGCCGACCCAGCCCGACCCGACCGAGCGCGCACCTGGCTGCGGCGCAGCCGAACAGCCCAAGCCACGCAGGCCCTTGGATCCCACGGACCCCCCGCGCCGCCCTGCCTCCCTCCGCGCCGCCTCCGCCTCCACGGGGCTCCTCCTCCTCCTCCTCCTCCTCGTCCTCGTCCTCGTCCTCCTCCTCGTCCTCGTCCTCGTCGTCCTCCTCCTCCTCCTCCTCCTCCTCCTCCTCCTCCTCCTCCTCCTCCTCCTCCTCCTCTCCTCCTCCGCGCCGCCTCCGCCTCCACCGGGAGGCGCGGGGGGGGGGGGGGGGGGCGCTCCCTGGGGAAGTCGTCCAGGTATTCGCCCATGTTGAAGCTCTCGCGGACCTGGCGGCCACGCCGGGAAGGAGCAAGACCCACACGTTCGGCGTGCCGTCTTTGAGGCGGTGTTGGTTGTTTCTTTTCAATGCGATTATTATGAATGCTGCGCTTCTTTCTCCCAACCCTCCTCTGTTGAGTTCTCGTCTAAAACACTGCGGTCGCCTCCTCCTCCCGCCTCCCTCCTCCTCCTCTCTTATGTCCTCCTCTTCTCTCCTGCCTATTGCCTCCTGCCTCGCCACCCTACCTGGGGGCTCGCGAGGTGCTGCCAACTTACAAACTGTCGCCACGTTCGTGGGCTCCTGGGAGGTCCATGTGAGTGGCGTCCGATTCAGATCAGATGAGGCCACGCCGTCGCTGGGGGCTGCGAACTGCTCGTGGGTTCCTGGGAGGTCCAGTGGAGTGACGTCCTGGTCAGATCAGCTGAGACCACGCCGTCGCTAGGGGCCGCAAGCTGCGAAACTGTCGCCACGTCCGCGGTCTCCCAGTAGGTCCAGCTGAGCGACGTCCGTTTCAGAACAAATGAGACCTCGCAGTCGCGGGTGGTGCGAGCTGCGAAACTGTCGCCGCTGTCGTGGGCTCCTGGAAGGTCCAGCAGAATGACGTTCTATGCAGATCAGACGAGACCTCGCCGTGGCTTTGGAGCGCCAGGCGCGGGCTGCACTGCTTGTCCAGCGTGCCATTGGAACATGATCCCCACCCTCCTTCCTCATCCTGCTTCTCTTGTTGTCGCTCCCTTCCTCCTTCCACCGTCTCCTCGTCCTTCCTCCTCCTGCCCCTCGCTCTCACCCCCATTTCCTCGTCGAGCCTGTGGCCTCAAACCTCGTCCTGCTGTGGCTGTTCCGTGAGTCGCGCAGCGCGCGCGCGCGCATCACATGTTGCTTGCACAACGAATGGCAGCCCCCATGCTGTGATCAACCATACTTGGAAGAAGAAAAAGCGGCATTCACATAAACTTGTGGCGCTCCGCGCGGACTTCTTGGATCCATGCTGGACCCCCTCCCTGGGGCGCGGAGCACGCCAGGGGCGGCGCCGGAGGCGCCGCTGGGGAGGCCCCAGCGCGGGTCCAAGAAGTCCGCGCGGAGCGCCACACATTGATGCTTATGGTGTCTTTTCTAGGGGGCCACATGCGAACCTCTCTCGAGCAAAATGAACCCCACCCTCCCCCTCAGAAATCGTGGGGGGTAGGGGTAGGGTTCGCATGTGGTCCCCTATTTTCTTCTTCACCTACTAGCATGGGCCGACTCCTCTTGTCGCTTCCTGCACGTGGGCTGGGTCCGCCACAGGGCACCTCGTTTGCGACGTCGGCCTCTGCGGGGCGACGTCTCGTCCCTGGGAGAGAAAAACCAAACGTGACCCACTCCTCCTCCTCCTCCTCCTCCTCCTCCTCCTCCTCCTCCTCCTCCTCCTCCTCCTCCTCCTCTTCCTCCTCCTCCTCCTGGGAGCGGAGGTGCGGAGCGCCCGCGAGAGACTGGGACCAGCCCGTTCCACGTCCAGGGCACGGTCCAGAAGCTTCGGGGCATCCTCACTCCAGGCGTGCCGAGGGCCCTCGGGCCCCATCACCACCCCGAGAGATGCTTCGCCAATCCCGCAGCCACAGGCCGACGAAACCTCGGCCTCAACGTAGCTACCGAGCCCCCGAGCCTGTCAACAGGAGCACCGGTGCCAGGCCGATCGGGGCGAGAGCTCTGGGGCCCGCGGACCTGAGAGAGTCACTGCGCTGCAGGCCTGGGCAGCCCCTCTGTGACAGAAGGGAGCGTTGTGCCTACGGGGAGGGGGAGGGAAGAGAAGGGAGGAGCAGCAGCAGCACGAGGGAGACAGGGAGGGAGGAGGAAGAGGAACAGGAGGAGGGGGAGCAGGATCAAGAGGAACAGGAACAGGGAGGAGGAGGGAGGCGGGAAGAGGGAACAGGAAGGCGAGGGGGAGGGAAGATGATAGGGCGGATGAGGAGGTCGCAGTGAAGCGCGGGGTCCTGCGAAACAGTTCAGAGTCCAGGACCTGAAATGAGCCCCCCCATGAAACGAACCAACGAACCGTCTCCACCGCGCCAGGATGTGTCCCCGGAGGGACGGGCGGCAAGGGCCGAGGCCCTCGGGTGCTGCTGTCGCCGCTGAGCTCATGATCCGTACGTCCACAAGCTGCCGATGCTCAAATCTAGAGGGCGATGTCACACGAAGCAGATTGTCCTTCGTCACATCGGTGTCGCTCCGAGCCCCCTCATGGCAGAGCAGCCTCCTCCCCTCTTAACGCCCCTGAGTGTGAGGCTGGCAGAGCGGACAGGAAGGGCGAAGGGGGGAAGTGGGCGTGGGAGGCCCGAGGAAGGCTCCCCCGGAAGAAGAGACCTCTTAAGCAGGGACCACGACATGGTTTTTAGAACCCCAAAAATATTCTAAGCACACAAGCAATGTTCTTGGAACATGAGCCCGATGTGTTAAAACAAGACAGCCCCAGCCAGAAATGTTCT